TGACAATGGCCACATTAACCTAGGATATAGCCCAAATTGCAAACACCACAACTTCAACTTTCCTGGAAGTTCGGATTTATCTATTCTATCCAATCCTTCTGCCACATCTTTCCTAAATTTCACCACCTGTTCCTCATCATTCAACTCCACATTGTACCACCTACCTAAGCTCTTTACTGACTTTTCCCTCATTGTTGGGATTTTCTCATCATCTATGACAAACTTCCTATCACTTAACTTCCCTCTACGTATCAAGATGCTTCTAGATTTACTAGGCTTGATCTTCATGCTGGCCCACTTGAGGTTCTTATTTACCTTCTCTAGTAGCCTCTTTGTACATGGCATTGTTGTGGTCACCAGTGTCATGTCATCCATGTAAGCCCTAACTGGTGGAAAATGCAACCCATTCTGCCGTCTCTCTCCACCTACCACCCACTTAGAAGCCCTGATGATTACTTCCATTGCCATAGTAAATGCTAATGGAGAAGCTGTACACCCTGCCATGATGCCCATTTCTAGCCTCTGCCAACCTGTTGTGAAACCTGCTGTACTTAGACACAACCTAATATCCTGAAAATATGCTTTCACTAAGTTAACAACTACCTGTGGCACTCTGAAGTAGTCAAACGCACTCCAAATGAGGCTATGCGGTACTGAACCAAACGCATTTGCAAGATCTAAAAATACTACATGCAGGTCCCTTTTCTTAATCTTCGCTGCCTGAATCTGGTGCCAGATCATGCTAGTATGCTCTAAACACCCTGAAAAACCTGGTATTCCTGCCTTCTGCACCATGGTATCTATTAAGCTATTCCTTTCTAAGTAGCTAGCTAATCTCTGCGCAACTACACTAAAGAAAATCTTCCCCTCTACATTCAAGAGAGAAATCATCCGGAACTGGCTAAGGTCCACAGACTCCTTCTCCTTAGGAATGAGGACACCCCCTGCCCTACGCCATGCTCTTGGTATAATTTGCTTCTCCCAAACTATTCTTAGCTGTTTCCATAAAAATTTAAGGGTAGCAGGCGCACTTTGATTAACCTGGTTGGGGACTCCATTAGGCCCCGGGGCCGAAGAAGCCTTTGCATGCCTGACCACCTCCTGAACTTCCTTCCACCTAGGTGGTCTGACATCCATCTCATGCTCTATCCCTCCTAATGGAGGGATATCGGGTGGGAAACCTACTATCCTATTCTTCTCTAAATCTGAATATGTATTTCTCAAATATTCTTCAACCTCTAGCCTTTCTGCTTTGAGCTGCCCTCCCTTTTCCTGGCTGAACAATCCTTTAACAAACTTAAAAGGGTCCCTGAAAAAACCTGTCCTAGCATATTCCTTCTTCCTCCTCTTTTTCCTGAGATGCTCTGCCCTTCTAAGAACTGCTAGCCTGCTTCTCAACTCCTCTTGCAACACCTTAATTCTTTCCCTTTCTTCTTCTGTAGCCTTTCTCCACACCTTTCTTAACTGTCTCCTTTCCTTGACTAGCTCCTCTATTTCTCTTTGCCGCCTAGATTTACCTGACTGTACCCTCTCACTCCTCTTTCTCTCATACAGCCCAAACCTCTCTACACCATATGAGTAAATTATATCTCTCATCTTTTCTAACATTTCTATTGCATTTCCTCTAAGCCTACTTAAGATTACTGACAAATCTCTATTAACTATCTCCCATTCTTTACTGTCATTTGCCCTAGGCCATCTAACTCTAACCTTTTGCTCCATGGTTCTCTCTCTGACTGGCACACTGGCCTCAGTATCACCTGCATCCTCTCTTACTACCCCCTCCTCCTCAGTGGCAGCGTTACTGATATCCTGCGAACTGTGGTTTTCTACCTGCCGCTGGACTTCACCCGACTGACTTGGCTGACTTCTTAGGAAGTACTGATCAACGCGGCTACTTTACCCTTTCTTTGCCACACACTTCTTCTTTCCCTGATGAGTTCTGAAGCCTTTAACTGATGTTACTTTCTGCCAGCCACAAGGACAAACCTGAAGCATCTTCTTCTCAACTGTGCTACTTTTATCCTCTACAGATGCGCTCACCTTGCCCTGAGTGCTGCTAATTCTAGCCCTGGTGGATAGGTCCATGCCCCTATCCTTCACTGAGTCACAGATCCAATGCGTAGTCGTGTCCCTTCTAATGTCTGTTATCGTGTAATCCACCTGTGAGTCATCTTCCACCCCTGCTCTCGCTGACTCTTGGGGTATTTTTCCTATGTTGGCTGTAGCTAATTTTGGTTGTAGTAAGGCTGCTAGGCCTCACCACTGCTACCATGGGTTGCTAACCCATGCCAGCACCTTTGGGGTCTTTTCCCTCCTGTCAGCTGTCTTTCCAAGCGGTCACATGGTCTTTCCCTTGTTGTCAGCTGCCCTATTCACAGCAGTCACTAGCTGGGCTAGACTTTATCTATTTCTTTATTTGCTCAGGCGAGCAAAAGCAAGTGAATTATGTGAGAATGATTGTCCATGGGATGTGAGAGTTTGCCGCAAATCAAGTTTGATTACTGGCAGCCTGAGAAAATAAAATGCTGGTGTTGTGTCAATGAGTTTGCCCATCGAACTCTGTTTCCCCCTAACCACAACCTCGCCCAAACAGCGAATGGTAGGGATGTTCCTGTCCACTTAACAAAAATTTTAACAAGGACTAGTAAACTAGTCTGAAAAAGGGAAAACACTCAGAAAACAGCCAAAATTTAGCACAATTTATTGTTAAGTATTTGAAACATTGTCCCAAAAAATATTGTGTGCATCAAGAGCCCTTCTGAAGCCTTTAATCACAATCTTCAACAACCATGGCGGATTTTAAATGCCGCTGAAGTAGGAGACACTTTGCGTCGTGCGCTATGAATGTGAACATAACGGTAACTCAGTCAAAAGTTAACCACTAAAATAAAAAATAAATAAACTGCCTCTGAAATGTGGAGCACAGAACAGAAATGACAGAAATTATAGCAATTCACTTTAAAGTTGATAAAACAACATCTAAATTCTAATTAAATTTCAGCTGAAATGAGAGGCCTTTTGCTCCGTGCAGTATGAACGTAAACCTGCACACTATCTGACAATAACTTACTACTCAAAACAGATTAATTGCTGCTGAATTCATTTTCTCCATCAAAGTACTGCCAAACTGCGCTAGTTTGGCGAGGACATCGCCCTTGTTTCCCACCGTGCAGTTTTAAAACTCCAGTCTGCTCGAGCATTACCCGGGGAGGGGAACTGCTGTCTGACGGCTCTGTAGCACCCACTAGTGGCGGGAGGCTGCATGTCATTTAAGAGTAGTACCGATATGATATGATACAACTATGGGTTCTGTGAAAACTAAGCATTCTTTATATAAAGAGAAAACGAGTCCGAACCACTTTCTGGACGCCCTCTTTAGTGACTGAATACACGGGAATCATGTGTTTAGCAGTATGGTACATTATAGCGTTTGTAATGTCTTTGTGCCTGCTGGACGTCGATTGGTATGGCATTATGCTATTGAATGCATCGGCAATCCGACCTTGCTTGGGCTTGACACAGGAGAACCCAGATGTCCCCGCCATGTCTTTTATTGCAAGGCACTCTTCATACAGTACTTGGTAGTGTTGTCACGGTACCAATTTTGGTGATTTAATAAACGGACCTTTTCCTGCTCGTGAGTGATCCATTACAATCCATTTAAGTTTGCTCCACATTGACCAGCTGCAACATTATTATGATGAACACATCAATGTTTCAACAGTTACAATTATATTTCATAGTCATAATCATAATCATAATTTAACAAATTTTATGTATGATGCAGTAAAACATAAAACAGGCATGACTGTGTCCGCGTTTCAAAATTAGGTGTAAAAACAGATAAATTCAAAATACATATATGAAAACCAGATACAGTGCATCCTACTCACAGGAAGCAAACATGATACATGTATCCCTTAAAAATATAAAAATCCCACGAGGCTGTTATAGATAGTTTGTCTGTATTGAATATCCAAAGAAACGAAAAACGACAACTAATACATAAAGGCTAGTGACGCTGAAAACAGCAGAGAAGCTAACGACACCAGAGAAGCTAACGCGGCGTATAAACGTCGACAGACTGAATATTTATTGAACAAAGCTGCAGTTATATTATTAATAATGAACTTGTAATGTTTAATGAACAAACCAGCTCTGTGTAACCGAAGCTGAGGGTTGAAAACAGCGTCCATTAGTTTCTGATGTTGGTCGTTCTCCTCTTTTGATCGACAAAGTTCCTCCTCGTACTCTGCTATCGTTCTTTCAAACAGCCCAAATATCTCTTCAGCAGCAGCAGTTAGTCGCTGCTTCACCAAAGCTCTCAGCATTTGGACTTTAGACATGTTCACACTTTAAAAAACACAACAAAGAGACTCTGCTAACACACCTTTCTAACAGACGCCATCTTGTTCAAACAGTGTGACATTCGCAAAAGTAAAGAGTACAGCTTCCGGGGTAAATGAATTAATCAGCTTCAAAATAAAAGTCCAGAAGTGTTAATGGAATTACAGGCTTACTCAGAAAAGCACATGCAGGAGGACGAATTATTAAAATACACTTTTTTAAAAGAATGACATTTATTGAACCGTATCAATTGTTTTTTAGTTTAGTTTTTTTGTTTTCACATATGCAAAATAAACAAAAGTAGTATGGAAGCAACAAATGTGATGGAGAGATGCAAAAAATCCTTGGAGTGGATTAATCGAGGCACTTTCCAGTGTATACCATAATCCATTAGTTAACTCAGTAAAATACTACAAAGATTGAAAAAGATAAAGACAATGATAAAATCCACACAGACCATGTACACAAGGACACACAATTAAGATCACTAAATATTAATAAACAGTTTACACAGGGGATCCATAAGTGGAACACTGAGGAAATAAAATCAAACCTTTAACACATAATCCATCAGGGCTCACATGAATATTGATGATGTCTTCGCAGACTGAATGGCGGTGACGTTGGTCTAAGCCTTCCAGGTAGAAAGTGTTTCGAAAAGCAGGGATATGTAGTAAAGTAAACCCGTTTATTTCTGTTGTTATTTTCAGCTGAAACTGTAACGTTAAAAGCCATATGGTTAAGCAACAACAATGAGCATGAGCCAAAGCCAGATGGTCCAGATGTTGAGGGAACAGAGGAGAAATGGCAGGAAGTGGAAACTGAGGGAAAGACAGAGGACTGGGTAGAAGAAGAGACTTTACAGGGAGAGACTGATTTTGAGGGAGAATGGACAGAACAGGAAGAAGAGATGGATTCTGATGTTGTGGCTGAAGGTGATGCAGAGAGTGAGATGCAGGCAGAGGATACAAGTGCATCCACAAGCAATGGATCATTAAATTTGTTGTGCATATTGTTCCTCCTATAGGAGGAAGTGGGCAGTATATAGCAGAGTGCAAAATGCTCTGAAAAGAGCTAATTTTACATCAACTCAACACATACTAAATTTGTGAGCAAGCATATTAGTTTGTGCATGCAACTTCCAACACTGTCTGTGGATGTCTCTATCATCAGATAAATCATTGGCAATATAATGACCAAGATATTTGTTCTCATTACACACTTTAAGAGCACCATAAATGTCATTCTTTCAAAAGTGTATTTTAATCATTTATCCTCCCGAGTAAGCATGTAATTCCAGGAACACTTCTGGACTTTTATTTTGAAGTCCATGAACTAATCTGTACCGGAAGCTGTATTCTTCACTGCTCCTGACTTCACACTGTTTGAACAAGATGGCATCTGGTAGAAAGGTGTGTTAGCAGAGTCTCTTTGTTGTGTTTTTAAAGTGTGAACATGTCTAAAGTCCAAATGCTGAGAGCGTTGGTGAAGCAGCGACTAACTGCTGCTGCTGAAGAGATATTTGGGCTGTTTGAAAGAACGATAGCAGAGTACGAGGAGGAACTTTGTCGATCAAAAGAGGAGAACGAGCGACAACGGAAACTACTGGACGCTGTTTACAACCCTCAGCTTCGGTTACACAGAGCAGGTTTGTTCATTAAACATTACAAGTTCATTATTAATGATAGAACTGCAGCTTTGTTCAATAAATATTCAGTCTGACGATGTTTAAATTAAGCAATAAAGCAGCAGCTGTATAAATCCAGTAACTTCATAAATGTAACGCAAGATAACGTCATGTTGTAACCTTAATATATAGTAAACACTGAAAATCACGTATCTTTAATGTAAACCAAGAAATTAGGGATGTCCCGATCCGAACCTCAGATCGGCGCCGATCACGTTGTTTTTACAAAATCGGAATCGGTAATAAAAGATCGGAGAAATCAAAACAACAAAAATGGCCAGGTTTTTCATCTATGTTGTTCACTTTTGCCTCCGCTTTCCAATGTATAAAGTGTGGCGAACCTGTATATTTTATTATTATATATTTTTTTCATAAGACAGTTAGCTGATGGCTTGCTCACCTCCAGACACTGTGCCGCAGACACTGAGGTACCTCCAGACACACCCACTGGTGCTATCGGCCAGTGGGATGGCTCGATCAGCTGAGCCCAGGTAGACCAGCCCCTACATTATGTCGCTCCTGGCAGTATGAGGAGAGATGCTGGCGAGTGAGAAATGAATCAGAAGTCCTCTGCGTATTTGGCCTACCACGGCAATTTACACCGCTCAAAGTCCGCAAAATAGGTGCGCTTCCCCGCGGAATATCATCCATCCGGCCACCGGCCTCACCTCAGAGATTCCGCCACAGATATCAAGAGATCCTACAGAGCCTCCACGCCCGAAATAACGCCAGAGCGTTACGGCATTCACCCACGGTCCCATGAGTTGGCAACAGCTGGGGTTTACTTTGCGTTTCATTCATTCCTTATTTGGAACATTCGACTGTGTTGATTTAATGTTTTGAAACTGAACTGAGTCAAAGTGAAGAGTGGATTTTCTTCACTTCCTTGTTTGCGGGAAAACGTGGGGTGGAGTTTTCTTTTGTTCAGCGATCTGTGTGGATTGAACTGACTTAACGGAGATATGTTATTTGGAAATCCCGGAGTGGAGTTTTTTGTTTGAACTGGATTGAACTGACTGAACGGAGCGGAACATTTCTTTTCTTTGGTGGAAAAAATATATACTTTCTTAAAACTGATTACTGTTGTATTTGAATTTTTGTATAGTATTGTGTAATTCTTTTGTTCTGCAGAAACTAGGTAAAAACAATTCAATTTTGGTGTTGAGGGACCTGTTTTATGGGTTTTATGGTTTCTTTTGTGGGGTTTGAGTAAAAGAAAACTTTTTGTTTCATGTGTCAAAATGCTACAAAAGATACAGGTCTATTTTATTTGTTGAAGACAAGAAGAAGGTGCACAGTGCACCCTTGGAAGTGCACCGTGCACTGCATGTGACTGTAAAAACTGAGGTGAAGTGAATTTGATGTTGGATAATAGATAAAATAGAAAGAGCATGAAACCCATCTATAAAGAGGTGTGCCTTATTAGGCCCACTTGGCAAAACCGTTCTACACTGGTGTGGGGTGTCTGGGTCCAGTAATGGGGGTATGGGGGTATTAGCCCTTTTCTATCTTGCTCACTGTTTTCTGCCTATGAGAGGGAGGTGGAAATCACGGTTGAACCCAAAATGAATATCCGAATATCCATCGAATATCCAAAGTCAAACTAACTTCACCTCGGTACTCTAAAACGCTTTGCAGGAGTTAGTGGACTTCCATACCACATATACAGCCTAGTGTTTGTCATATTTGTACACTTTTAATCGCCTTAATGCTACAACATCAATAGATAATTTATCTTAGAGATAAATCTATTATACAGCTGCTGCTTTATTGCTTAATTTTAAATAAAGTATTTCCACATGAGTATATGAATACTGGCTTTGTCGACCTGCAGCACAACAATAACGTTACGTTACGTTTATGAATTATGTGGATTTAAACTGCTGCTTTTTGTATTGGAAAGCAGTGAGATTGTAAAATGTTCCTCAGTGCATGGACAGTGTGGTCACAAGTTGATCTGACTGTCTCCCAATTTTAAGACATAGCTGGCTGTATGTTGTCGGATTTTTATTGTGTCTCTCTGTGTAGTGGTGTTGCAATAGTGGCGCACCACGTTACTTGTGCGCCTATAATTTATTTTCCCATGATGGAGTGTGTTCGAATCCTGTGAAAATATTCTTTGTTACGTTTCACAGGGCTGAACGGTTCTTTAATATGGCACATGTTTATTTAGACGGGCACCAGAGACGAAACTGTGTAGGCCTATTTAGAAAATTTATGTGAGATAGGAGTTAAATTTACAGGAAAAGCAACTTGGCCTCTTCCTGTTTTCATCATTCCGTCATAACATGTGTGATTCAAACCGCGACTGAGTGTCAGTATGTAACTGGGTTCCTCAAGCAAGAGTCCAAAGACGGATCAGGTCGGCTATGTTTTGATATTTTTATGAAAAGCATGTGAAGGCATGTGCAGCACCAAACTGCATTTCAGCTTTATTTAAATGAATGATCAGAGCCAAGACGTGGGAGATCTAAACATTATTTTGAGTTGAGTTTTGTTTTTTAAAGACAT